TTGAAATAAAAGATTTGGGTCAAACCAAATTTTGCTTGGGTTTACAACTTGAGCACTTTCATTCTGGTATATTTATATACCAAGTTGCCTATGTCCAAAAGGTATTGGAGAAATTCAATATGGGCAAGTCATATCCAACAAAAACCCCGATGGTAGTGAGATCCATAGATATTAAGAAGGATCCTTTTAGACCACGGGAAGAAGAAGAAGAAGAGATATTGGGACCACATGTCCCATATCTTAGTGTCGTTGGAGCCCTAATGTATCTTGCTAATAGCATCCGGCCGGATATTGCATTCGAAGTAAATTTGCTGGCAAGACATAGTGCTGCTCCTACCAAACGTCATTGGGTAGGAGTCAAAATCATTTTCAGATACCTCAATGGCACTATAGATCTTGGATTATTCTATAGTAGAAATTAAGATCTAATTTTGTTAGGATTTACAGATGTTGGTTATTTATTAGATCCCTACAATGGTAGATCACAAACAGGCTTTGTATTCTTGTAAGGTGGAACAACAATATCTTGGAAGTCTTCAAAGCAGACTTTGGTGTCTACTTCCACCAATCATTCTGAAATAATTGCTTTATATAAAGCATCACGCGAATGCATATGGTTTTGTAGATTGATAAACCACATAATACAATCATGTGGTATCGGTGCACTTGAGACACCAACAATTATCTTTGAGGATAATTCGGCATGTGTTACACAAATGGAATCAGGTTATATTAAGAGTAATATGACTAAGCATATTATTCCCAAGTTATTCTATCCCCATGAGCTCCAAAAGAATGGAGAAATTGAAATCTTGCAAACTAAGTCATGTGATAATCTAGCAGATTTATTCACAAAATCTCTACCATGCTCCGCATTCCGAAAATGTGTTGAGGGCATTGGTATGAGAAGACTTAGAGACTTGCAAGAATCAGGGGGAGAATCCCTCTAAAATATAACATGTTTTCAACATCACATTACACTCTTTTTCCTTTATATGAGTTTTACTCTTCTGGAGTTTTCTCACGTAAAGTTTTTAATGAGGAAATGTTAACACATAGTAAATGTCATATTATCTATTTTTCCTCACAAAGGTTTTTCAAAGATAATATTTATGACATATTGATCTCTGATCAAACTGTTTTAGACTAATGCTTTAGGGACACCTAAAGGGTCTATTAACATTGGAGTTATATATATCATGGTTTTCATGGTTTTTCTCCTTATTTTTCTCACTGGGTTTTAAGGAGTTTTGCCTGGTATATCTGTATACTTTGGTTTTTCCCACAGGGTTTTCCAAAACATCAAGACGATGACTAATGAACAAACAACGGTGTCTACAAGGGATCAATTGATCAAGGGAGAGTGTTGAGATTAATTAATTAAGTGATCAAATTGTTAATCTCGTCATTAGCAGATGGTTCCATGTAGACATAATAGATAGGCAGCTTTTCATAGATAGGCACCTTTTCATCTGAGTCACTAACAAGGCAACTGCCTATTGTCTATAAACAATATTGTTCATCAATGAGAATACACATCGGTCATTTGCACCGACCGCTTTCATCTAACATCTTCGTCCGTTCCAACATTTATTAAATTTCCATTTGTTCTGTGTTTTTTCTTTGTATATGCCATTTTTCCTTTTTCTCCACATGTTTTTTTCTTGGTCGTTTTTAAAAATTATTTTACATTGTTTTCAATTTTTCTTTGCTTTATGGTTTTGATCTGGTTTTCTCGGTTATTTTCCTATTTTCTTTTATGTTGTTTTAAAAAAGTTCTATGTTTTTCTCTTTTGGTTTGTTTTTTCTTTTTACTTTATCTTTTCCATCTCTTTTCTCATGCCTTTTGTTTTCTTTAGAAATGATGAAAAAGCCACATAAAAGAAAGAAATAATTCTAATGTCAAGATATTAGGAATTGAATTTATGACTTTAGCTTTAGATTTAAGAAATTTATCACGAACTATTGTTGTGTTTGTCAGATTTTCCTATTTGATTAAATAGGGTAATCCTTGAGACCTGTAACATACCTTGTTTAATTGTTCCTTGCTCTCGACTCTGTTTAACTTTTCAGGTTGGCAAAGTGCGTTCGGCAGCTACTAGCTTTCATTAGGTGGTGGCATGTCCATCAACTCTCGGTTCTTATAGCAGCAGGAACTTCATTCAGTAGCTTTCTATTGTCATGTTCTGAGCGCTTCAGTCATATTTTTATTGTGTCGCGTGCAACTGCTAGTGACCATTGAGTTAGATTATTTAATTGGCTTACATATATATTTTGCAGTTCAGTTTATGAACTATATAACTAGTTAGAGAACCCATCTCATTAGTGAAAAGTAAAATTTTATCGTTTGCTTCTGACTATCTTGAGTCCTAATCGTTTCTTTATTGATGTGTAAATGCATTTTCAGGGAGGGGTTATAATTAGGATATGGGTCAAGTTGTTTGGCAAAGAAATTTTTGGTGGCATTTTCCATCTGGTCGCTGGTTCGCCCCCGTCACTTATCCCTGGAAATCGATTTTGATTTGTTGTGGCTAATGTTTTGTCCCACATCTAAAAATCAATTATAAGAGAAAAAGACGGATGTTAGAAATGATGAGACTACTCCTACGTGGATTCGTGAGATTATTTGTATGTTTCTTCAGAAGATGGCTTGTATATGGATTTATCAGGCTACTTATAATATCTAGCTTCATATATAACTTGTATAATAAAACTATGAGACTACTTAATCGCAAAAAGAAAAAAAGAAAAACCTATATGAGACCACTTTTATGTGGAACCATGAGACGACGACTTGTACTTTTAGAACAATATATTATTATATATGAACTACAGAACTAAAAAAGAAATCTTATTAGGAAAAGTAAAATTGTTTCGGGTGACTACTGGTCCTACCAACTGCATATGCAAATGCATTTTCAGAGACAGCAGGTGTTTCTAACTGCCCCATAAAAATGCATTTTCTAGGGCAGCTGGTAATGTCACTTATCCCTGGAAATCGATTTTTAGGCTGGCTAATGTTTTGTCCCACATCTAGAAATCAATTGCTAGAGATGGATGCTAGAAATGCTTGATTTCTAGAGGCCTTTGTATAGAGTTGTTGGTTGGCATATCCGCCTGTACAAATCAGTTTTGACTGACTCTAGAAATCCATTCTATAGTAGTGTATGCCAATTGGGTAGGACCTCTAGATTACATAACATCTATTAGTTATTTTGCAATTTTCTTGTGATCCAATCTTGTCTCATGGAGTGCACACAAACGGTCTACAATGTCAATGTCTAGTGTAGAAGAAGAGCACAAACTTTTGCTACTGCAACGGTTGAAACCATATGCGGGTTCGTCTGACCCTGTTGCTTGTGGTTGGGATACAAGTCCACAAATAACTAAGTTATATGGTGTGAATATGTAATAATATTAGAGAATATTGTCATGTTAGAATGATGCATATCGAAGTGGATTATCGTTCTAGGAGGAAACATGTGTCCAGAAAGTTATTAGAAGCTTATTTTGTTCCTTGAGGTGATGAATTCGTAGATTGATTTATTATTAGGCACTTCCTGTGTTAAAAAAAACTGGTGACACAATCTCAACTCACTTAAGATTGCGGAGGGCCGTCAGAGTCTCAGAGATATAGATGAAATGATATATTCAATTGTAACAATACTTGTGAAGGTACAAACTATGATTTGCGTGGTTATATTCGAAGCTGTATATACCTTATGTTTGTTAATATTTGCTCGTAAACTAAGAGCATCTCCAACGGTTTGCTAAAACCACTCCCAATCTTTAGTTTTGGGTAGGATGAAGAAAACCCTCCTCCGCTAGCTCCAAACATCCTCACTACCTATGTATCCGCGCTTGGAAAAATAGAGGCAGCCATGTGTAAAGATATGTGGTTCATGGGGTGACGATGTTTTTCTTCGACAGTCCATCGTCGCCCCAACTGCCCCCACCGAATTAATTAATCACTGACCACTATCTTTAGATCTGAGAATACAGAGAAATAGAGCAGACAATGAAGATTACATTCTGTACTACCTCGTCCACAAATGAATGCAATTCTCGCTTTTTGAGGAGTCAAACAGTTTGAACTTTGACTAAATTTATATAAAAAATACTAACATTCAAGATGCAAAATAAATACCACTAGATTCATTATAGAATATATTTTCATAATAAATTTATTTGAAGACATAAATGATAATAGTATTTACTATAAACTTGGTCAAACTTGAACTATATTGATCGGCATGGATCCCATAATTGCATTCTTTTGTGGACGAAGGGAGTAGGTTCTAGTTGTATATTAAGGTGCCAGGGATGGTGGCCACGTGGTCACCCTGGTCCGCCGCCGCCTAGGAGGTTGACCAAAATTTGATATTAGGCTATCATTTTCGTATAAGAGATACTGGAAGGCAATAGAGATTTCGTTTTAGAGGATCTGGATGTGAGTTAGGTGCCTGGGATAATAACTAGCTATGGGGCGGCTAGCGGTTGCATCTATGTAGTGGCACGGGTTGTGATAATAAAATTCTTCAAGTGGCCCTACTTTTTTTTTGGCACATATTATTGAAAACTTTTGTTGATGAGAACTAGTGGTTGTAGAGAAGTAGCGGTTGTATCTAACGGGTTGTTTGGATCTAATGATTGACTAGAACTAGTTTTTGTAGAACTTGCTTTACTTGCATCTTCCAACAAACTCCTGTATAAGATAAATTCATTTTCTAGAAAACCAGAAAAATACGGATTAAAATAAAAACGGATCCATATCGTTTTTAGTAAAACAGATTTTCGATAACCACGATCTGGTTGAGGCCGAGGCACACCCAGCGTCGGAAAATACGTTCCAACCTAACATGAAAAGATTGTGACCCACCATAGGCAGTTGACTAAAGTGGACCGCAGTCTGGCCATCAAGTTGTTATATATAACCACGCTCTCTATAAAACCGGTGCTCGATAACAGAACCTCCACACACGCATCGTCGATCGATCACGATGGCTCCACGCAACAAGTGCACGCTTCTGACGATGGCCTTGTTCGTCGCCTTCGCCGCCGTTATCCTGCAGCCATCTGCGGCGAGCAGAGTCGTCGGAGGAGCCCTTGCCAGGGCCATCGCCGCGGCAAACGCAGATCCAGGAGCGGCGCCATCCCCAGACGGTGACGACGGTGATGGCGGCGGCGGCATTCCACAGCTGCCGCCGCAGCCAAGGGAGTGCCGGCCATGGTTGGCGCGGATGATGCCGTGCGCGGGCTTCCTCACCAACGCCACCGTGTACGCGCCCGAGGCCACCTGCTGCGACGGCTTCAACGCCATGTTCACCTTGGACACGGTCACCTGCCTGTGCCACGTCGTGAACGGCGACATCGGCCAGCTTCTGCCGGCGCCGATGAGACATATGCGCATGGTGGAGCTCTTCTCGGTGTGTGGCCACGACGTACGTGTCGATATACTTGCCGCGGCCTGCAACCTAAGTAAGTCAGATAAGTTTTCTATACAAGTAATAGGCTACTACTAGCTAGCTGCTGCCTCATGATTAGCCTTACCGATGATTGATGAATATGGGCTGAACTGAACAGTGGATGGAGTGCCGCCGATAGACCTTCCGAGTCCCTCACCATTGACGCCTTCGCCATCGCCATCCCCGGCTCCATCCCCGTCGGGTATGCATTTTTATTTTCATCAGTTAATTTGCGTCTTCCTGCTAGCAAATTGGTGTCGTATATTCAGTTTCTAAATCTGATCAACTATGCACTTTTTTTTTTTTGCAGCAGGATGGCGATGATTAAATAACAGCGACAATCGATAAGTTATGATTCTGAACAATAAAAGTTGCTGCCAGTTGCAGATTTGCATGGCGTCATCAGCTGAGAGCGTGCGTGCTCTCGCTAGTTTTCTGTTTGTGAGGATATATACATCGCAACCTCTTTCAGGGAGTCAAATTAAGTTAATTGAAGAGAGTACGTTATTTGTAAGGCAGTCTGCAGACAAATAGGATAATAACATATGTTATTTGTTCACTAGATTTATAGCAAACATGTCCGTGTTGCATCAACAATTTATTTTACAGACGACTTTTGGTTTGGAGATTTATTCAATATAATGATTGTGTCATCTGTTCTAATAAGTGGTTGGAATCAAACTTCGTATCGTGGCTAGACGTGTGTTGTTCTAACTCATATGAGAGTCCGGGTCACAGGTGAATTGGGAGAAACAAGAGAGGTGCGCGAGGATATTGTGGGAAGCAAAATATAAGAGAAAAAATAATTGTTTCTGTTTTGAGTATCAGGTTGTCACGAAATGGGCCTTATGCCATGCATAGTGTTGGGCTGCACTAGCTAATGGGCCCGTAAGCCGACTTGTATGTCGCAGGGGTGTATTTCATGGGCTTGGCCCAATATCGTTTTGGTACTCTGACTAAAACTTGCTGTGTGGGCGGTTGGGCGGTCAGCAATGAGAAAAAACTAATTTCCCAATCCCTTTTCCTTCCGGTGTTGACCAGTTCTGAGGCGGCGTTGCCGTGCTCCTCGTCGTGTGTATACGCCGGCAACCCCTCCTTCCATCTCCAGATCGTGACATTTGGTACCAGAGCCTCCTGATCCGTCGCCGATACTGGATCCGTAAACTCCCGTCGCCGACGGTTGGATCTAGAGTTGTCGCGCGGTCATACACCGGATTTTTTCCATCGCCGCCACCGCCCGATTCGTCCTCGTCGCCGTTCAGTTCATCCACCACCTCCTTCTCCTACCTCCACCATCACCGATTCCACTACGCCGCCAGTTTTTCCTTCCACCCCAATCACTTCCCCCACCACCAACTCCATTTCCGTCATCTCACTCGATGGCGCACAAACCCAAACCACCAACCCTCACCTCTCGTATGGCGACAGCTGAGGAAAAGCTCGACTCGCTCGGTGCCCAGATGAAGTCCATGCTCCTACTCATGGAGACCTTCAATCGCTGGCGTACTGAGGTTGATAACTTCTCCAACAAGTTAACCAAGGAGATCAGGACTCTCACATCGCGCATGGAGGCGTTGGAAGCGAACAATGCTCCGCCATCGGCCCCGAAGCGCGAGGAAGAGGGGCGGGCCATGGGGCACGGTGTCGCAACATCACCCTAGGGGAATGAAGGGCGGACTATGATCCTCACTCATCCCCTGGCCAATGGTCAGTTATCCTCCTCCACCTCCCCAGTTCATTATCCTACTGCGTCTACACACAATGAATGTCATTTACCTAAGGCCCAGTTTCCCAAATTTGATGGGTCTCATCCAAAAGTCTGGAAAGAAAAAGCAGAAAAATACTTTGATATGTTCAATGGCCCGGTCCATCGCTGGGTTCAGTATGGTACCCTACATTTCAAAGGGCATGCTGCCTTATGGTTACAAACCTATGAGGCACAGCATGGGGTGGATAACTGGGTTGACCTCTGCATTGCTATTGAATCTAAATTTGGGAAAGATCTCTATCATAACTCCATGCAAGAATTACTGAGCATTAAGCAAATCTCTAATATTCAGAATTATTATGATAGATTTCAAACTGTCATGCATAAAGTGCTGGTGCATAACAATCATTTAGATGATGTGTTTTTTGTTAGTAAATTTCTTCAAGGCTTGCATCCTGACATCCGCGCTGCTATTGTTTTACATAAGCCGAGAACAGTTGATGTGGCCTTGTCATTGGCTCTTATGAAGGCCGATGTGTTGGAATCTCAACCTAAGTATTTTGTCAAGCGCAATTATCGCGACTACAACAAGTTTCACGGCAAACCACCGCCAGCCGCAAGACCTGGTGTTCTGGGAGCACCACCAGCCGCCGACACAAAGCCAAAGTGGGAAGACAAGCTTCCAACATTGCGAGCTCAGCGGCGTGCCCAAGGCCTATGCATGAAGTGTGGCGAGAAATGGGGTCGCAACCATAAGTGCCCTAATAAAGTAGCTCTGCACGTCTTGGAAGAGTTCATGGAGCTGCTTTCAAATGACAGTATGCCTGACCAGAATACTTCATATTCTAGTGATGAAGATGAAGCTGTGTTTGCTCTGTCTCAGTCCGCAGCAGTCGGTGTTTCAGGCAAGAAAACTATCAAGCTCCATGGCATCGTCAAGGATCAAGAACTGCTCATCCTCATTGATTCGGGCAGCACCTGCACATTCATTAGTACCAAAACGGCTACCGCACTCAACTGTGTCCTGATGCCTGCTCCTCCCATTCAAGTAGCTGTGGCAAATTGTTATAAACTTCAGAGCAACCATCAGGTCCTCAACTTCAGCTAGTGGTCTCAGGGGCACACATTCACAACTGATGCTCGTGTGTTGCCCTTGCAGTACTATGATATGGTGTTAGGTATGGACTGGTTAGAACAACACAGTCCCATGTGGATACACTGGAAAAGGAAGTTGTTGAGGTTCTCTTATCAGGGCAGCAGAATCAGCTTAAAGGGTGTCAAAGATACCTTATCTAGTTGTCCCAAAGTGAAAGTTAGGAAATTAAAAGGCCTTATCAGGAAAGGTGGCATAGCTTAGATGATTCACTTGTGTCAAGTAACAACACCTTTGCCTCCAGACACTATTCCTGTGCCAGTACAGCAGTTAGTGGACAGTCAGGCTCATCTTTTCAAGGACCTAGATTCCTTGCCGCCCTCTAGGGAGTTTGATCATCAAATTCCTCTGTTACCTGGTGTGAAGCCTATCAATGTCAAGCCATACAGATACTCACAGACACAGAAAGATGAGATTGAGCGTCAGATCAAAGAAATGCCCTCCAATGGCATCATTAGGCCAAGCCAAAGTCCTTTTGCTCCCCCAGTGATCTTGGTCAAGAAGAAAGACAGCAGTTGGCGTTTTTGTGTTGATTACCGGCAACTCAACAACATAACTGTCAAAAACAAGTATCCATTACCAGTGGTCGATGAACTTTTGGACGAGTTGAATGGAGCAGCTTGGTTCACCAAGTTAGATATGCGATCAGGCTATCATCAAATTCGGTTAGCCCCTGAAGATGAGGCTAAAACAGCCTTCCATACTCACAGTGGGCATTGGTAATTCCGAGTCATGCCGTTTGGACTCACAAATGCCCTAGCTACCTTTCAAGCCTTGATGAACACTATCTTCCAGCCACTGTTGAGGAAATGTGTCCTGGTCTTTGTTGATGACATACTTATTTACAGTCCAACATTGGAGACTCACCTGGATCATCTGCAGCAAGTCTTCAACATTCTAAATGATAATCAGTTCTTGCTTAAGACGTCTAAATGTTCTTTTGCTCAGCAAACGCTAGAATATCTGGGTCATATCATTAGTGGACATGGTGTGGCGACAGATCCTAAGAAAATTGAGGCTGTGGCTAATTGGCCCCCACCATCAGACACCAGGCAGTTGAGAGGATTTCTCGGTCTATCCGGCTACTATAGGAAGTTCATCAAGAACTATGACATCCTAAGTCGACCTCTTACTGACCTATTGAAAAATGATGTTCTATTTCATTGGACACCACAACTGCAAACATGTTTTGACACCTTGAAACAAGCTCTCATTTCAGCACCTGTGCTAGCATTACCAAACTTCAACAAAGCCTTCACAGTTGAGACCGATGCTTCATCCACTGGTATTGGTGCAGTGTTATCTCAAGACACACACCCAGTGGCTTACCTCAGTAAGGCCCTTGGCCCCAAAGCTCAAGCACTCTCAACATATGAGGAGTGCATGGCACTCATTCTGGCAATCACCAAGTGGAAGCCTTACCTCCAGCACAAGGAATTCACCATTATCACTGACCACAAGAGCCTCATTCACCTAGGAGAGCAGAAGCTACATGAGGGTATGCAACAAAAAGCTTTCATCAAACTGTTGGGCTTACAATACAAAATTCTTCATAAGAGGGGTTTGGAAAACAAAGCTGCAGATGCTCTTTCCAAACAAGTTGAGCCTATATCTTTGACTGCTATCACTGCAAGCACTCCAAAGTGGTTGGAAATCATTTTGGAGGGTTATCAGCAAGATGACCAAACCAAACAGTTGCTCACTGAGCTCAGTATTACTGGATCCAATGACAAAGGCTTTACTCTTAGTGATGGTTTGATCAAGTACAAAAATAGAATCTGGTTGGGAAACCATAAGGAAGCACAGCAAGCTGTTTTATTGGCTCTTCACTCTAGTGGCTTGGGAGGATACAGTGGCATTACAGCCACATATCACAAGGTGAAGTCACTGTTTGCCTGGCCACATATGAAGCAGTCTATCACAGATTACATTAATGCTTGTGAGGTATGTGCCCAAGCTAAACCTGAACACTGTAAATTACCTGGTTTGTTGCAATCACTGCCTGCTCCTACCCATGCTTGGCACACCATTAGTTTGGATTTCATTGAGGGCTTGCCTAAATCCAAAAGCTTTGACACTATCCTAGTTGTCATTGACAAACTCGCAAAATATGCACACTTTATTTGTTTAGCCCACCCATATACTGTCTTATCTGTAGCCCAAGCCTTCTTGGCCAATGTGTACAAACTGCATGGCCTACCTTCCATTATCATCTCTGATAGAGATAAAATTTTCACTAGTGCCCTTTGGTAAGAACTATTCAGGCTCACAGAAACAACACTCAATATGAGTTCTGCCTACCATCCACAAACTGACAGCCAAACCGAACGATTGAATCAGTGCCTTGAAACCTATCTCCGCTGCATGCTGCATTCCTATCCCCAGAAGTGGGCACAATGGATTCCATTGGCTGAGTTTTGGTATAACACGACCTATCATTCGGCACATGGGCATACACCCTTTGAAG